CTTAGGCTGGCAGCAAAAGCACAATCCATAGAAGGGAAAATTGGCAAATTGGACTTTATCAAAATTAAAACTTTTACTCTGAAAAAGATCCTGTTAACAGAATGAAAAGACAAACTATAGACCGGGAGAAATGTTTGCAAATCTCTTATCTAGAATATAGAAAGAACTCTCAGTAGTCAACAGACATGCACATAAACAAGGAGTCTAATTAGAAAATGGGCGAAGGACAGCAGGATATGCGTGATGGCAAATAAACAGATGAGATGTTCATCATCACTAGCCCTTAGTAAAAAGCAAATCAAGACCGTGATGAAATATCACTAGACTCCTGTTAAAACAATTAAGATAAAAAATTGACAACAGCTTGCTTCCAACACCAAATACTAGCAACGATGCGAAGTATAGTGGATTGAATTATGTCCCCCCAAAACTCATTGAAGCTTGAATTGTGTCCTCCAAGTTTTAAGTATCAGAAACTTAGCCCCCACTGTGACTGTTAAGAGGGTGGGAAATCCTATTATGGTCATTGATAGGTGGAGCCTTGAAGAGGTGATTGGATTGTAGGACCTTGCAGTAGTGAATGGATTAAAAATGGTGGTCAGGGGCGTGGTTCTCAGGGCTTTAAAAAGAGAGTGAATGAAGAGGTTACCCTCTGCTGTCTCTGCTCCACCATTTCATAATGTGATATCCTACATCACTGAAGTCACCACCAAGACCCTCACCAGGTGTTTTCCCTGGACTTTGGACGTCCCAGCCTCAGAAACTGTAAGCAATAAATTTTGTTTTCTTACAAAGTACCCAGTTCCGTGAATTTTGTTATGTGACAGAAATGAACTAATACACAAAGGAACTGGATCTCTCATGCATTGCTGGTGGGACTATAAAATGGTACAGCCACCCTGGAAAGTAGTTTGGTGGTTTATTAAAAAACCTACACATACGCTTACCCTGTAACCTAGCATTTGTATTCTTGGGCATTTATCCAGAGAAATGAAAATTTATGTTCACACAAAAACCTGTACACAATTTTTTATAACAACAGTTTTCATAACTTAAGAAATGGAGAAAGCATGCCCAGGATACTAAGGCAGGAGCCGGCGGCAGCATTCCCCACCGGAAAGTCAGAAATGAGGGAGAAATAGTGTATTTCCCTGACAAACAAAAACTGCAGGACCAGCTCTGCAAGAAATCCTCAAGAGAGACCTGTATCAGGAATCTGAAAAATGATAATCACTCATCTTTCTAGCTATAATTATTTTCAAACTTTCTGTTTTTTCATAATTCAGTATTGGTAGATGGTGTGTTTCTAGGAATTTATTCATTTCATCTAGATGATCTAATTTGCTGACCAGCAGTTATTCATGGTATTCTCTTATAACCCCTTTGATTGTAAATTTGGTTGTAATGACCCCTCTTTCATTTCTGATTTTAGTTCTTTGAGTCTCCTCTTTTTTCTTAGTCCATCTAGGTAAAGGATTGTCAATTTTGTGGATCTCGTCCAAGTACCAACTTTTGGTTTCATTGGTTTTCTCTCTTGTCTGTTTCTTTTATCTGTGCTCTAACTTTTATTATTTACTTCCTTTGCTAGGTCTGGGCTTAGTTTGCTCTTCATTTTCTAGTTTCTTAAGGTGCGAAGGTGATTGTTAATCTGAGATATTTCTTTTTTATTAATGTATGCATTTATATTGAATAAATTTCCTTTTTAACAAAAAAAATAGGAATAAGAACAATATGTGAGGTGTAGTATAATTTTATTTTATTTTGTAAATTCATTAGATCCACTTTTATTATTTTATAGTCATCTTTAAATGAAATTTATTATTTTTGATAATGTGTGAAACTTTTACCAATAAAGCAAAAATGAATTTATGAGCTTTTAATTGCAAAAAAAAAAAAAAGATTTTATTGCTATAAAATTTTCTCCATGTATGGCTTCACTGAATTCTACAAATTTTGAAAGAAATGTTTTGTTTTTACATAGTCCAAAATATCTTCTAATTTTTCTTTGATTTTTTGTTAAACCCAATGATTACTTAGAACTGTCTTATTTAGTTTCCAATATTTGGGAATTTTCCACATAACTTTCTAGTATTGATTCCTATTTCAATTTCACTGTGGTTGAATAACATACTTGAGTGACATGCATTTAAATTTGTTGAGAGTTATTTTATGGTCTAGAATGTGGTCTACCTTGGTAAATGCTCCAGGTGTAATTGAAAAGAAGATGTATTTCTGCTGTAGGATGGAATGTTCTATAAATGTCTGATAGTGTTGTTCAAGTTGTCTGTATTCTTACTGATTTTGTGTTTCCTTATTCTATAAATTATTGAGAAAGTGGTATTGAAACCTTAGATTCTATATATAAACTTTTGTACTTATCCTTTTAGTTCAATCATTGCTTAATTTATTTTGCTGCATATATATTTACGATTTTATGTCCTTTTAATGAATTGACCATTTTGTTGTTGTGAAGTGACTCTCATTATTCTTGCTGTGAAATATACTTTGTTGGATTAAAAAAAAAAAAAAAGACGTGAGACACCAAAAAAAAAGCCCCCAAACTCCCAAAGTTTATTTAGCCTGTTGTTTCAGCATTGTTTTGAGAAAAACTTCCTTTCTCCCCATTCAGTAGCCTTAATGCCTTTGAGGAATAAAAACTACATTTCCTATAATCCCTTGCCATTAGGTATGGCCCGTGGAACAGAAGAATCTAGGACAGATCCTTTGTTCTTTCCTCCTCCTTACTACTGGATTGACCAAGAGGGCAACATCTCGGACACAAAAGTCACAAGTTATTATTGGTCCACCTTCTTCAAGATAAGCAGAGTTCCCTCCTGATCAGTGTGAAGCCTGTATCCAGCCATCTCTGGATACTTCCCATAGGATTTTGTTACACTGGAGAAAAATACATTTACTTTGGTTTATTTTTTAAAAAAAATCCAAAAGAAGAGATAAAATGGAATACAAAAATAAAGAATATTTTATTTCCTTAAAAAAAACAAAAAACAAAAAAAAACCAGAAACAACCTAA